ATTATGAGATATTATCGCATAATTATGACTTAGCTATCTCATAATTATGACTTAGCTATCTCATAATTATGACTTAGCTATCTCATAATTATGACTAAGCTATCTCATAATTATGAGATACTATCTCATAATTTTGACTTAGTTAATTATTTTAATTTAATTATAGTCATAATTATGCGATAATATCTCATAATTATGAGATAGCTAAGTCATAATTATGACTAAGCTATCTCATAATTATGAGATACTATCTCATAATTTTGACTTAGTATCTCATAATTATGAGATAATATCTCATAGTTATGAAAGCTAAGTCATATTTATGAGATAATATCTCATAATTATGAGATGTTATCTCATAATTATGAGATATTATCTCATAATTATGAGATAGCTAAGTCATAATTATGAGATAGCTAAGTCATAATTATGATATACAAGTTTTATTTATTTTTTGTCAGGGTGGCAGAAATGGGCTTCCACAGTACAAGCATTTTTAACCACAATAAAAAGGAGTTTAGTTTCAGGAAGACCACAGTTTCTTTTCTGACGATGTACTTGATCAACACTAAGCTGGTAGACTGATAATTGGAGTATAGGCTGCACATTAGTATAGCCTGTAAGGGTCATAGTGCACCACTCATCCAGCTAACATTTGTGATGCATCATCACAACGCTCAGATCATCCAGCAGCTGAGAGGCACTCATCTGATCTCAAACCAATTATTTCTGCACACTTCAACTTCAGAGAAGCAGCCAATTAAGTGTTGTCCCTAAAATAAGAGTCAGCTGGTGCTTCAGTGAAGTGTGACCATCTGTCCACAGATACCCCATTCAGATGCCAAGAGAGGGCTGTTTTGGAAACATGGACGGCGCGCCGGGGGTAAGAAACTACGGAGTGTTGGAACCCGATGAGCTCTATGACGCCTACTGCTACGTGGAGAATATTCAGGGTGAGAATTGAGTTGACTTTCTTAACTCTTCAAAGTTTTCAGCTTTTCAGTGATACTTATGCAAAGTAGGAAAAACTGCATTTTCTGTAAAAAATGTAACATGAATGCTTAGTGGTGAAAGAGTTAACTGAAGAAGCTGAAACTGAGTTGAAGCTTTAAAAACAGAACATAAGATTAAAATGAGTAAATAAACTAAAATGTCAGTTAAAAGCAAAACGTAGCAGAACACAAGCTAGAACTAGCAAAAGTTTGGCTAAAAGCTAAACTCAGCCAAAGGTTGACTAGAATTAAACATATCAAAAGGCTCACAAGCTAAAAGTAGCTATAAGGTAAGTAGCAAATGGCTAAAAGCTAAGAATAATAAGGGTAGCTTAAAGCTGAAAAACACAATTTTGTTTTATTTGCTGATGTCACAAACATTTTTGGTACGGGTGAAAATTTACAGCAGCTTTTGCTTGAAATGAATTTAGAGTTATGTAAACTGAAAGTGTGGTTTGACATCAACAAATTGTCATTAAACTTAGAAAAAACAAAATTTATGTTATGCGGGAATTGTAAAGGACAAAGTGATTTACAAATAAGAATTGATAATGTGACTGTGGAGAGTGTGACTGAAATACGGTTTTTGGGAGTATTGATTCAAAATAAGATCTGTTGGAAACCTCAAATAAAATATGTCCAGTCTAAAATAGCAAGAAGTATTGCAGTTCTTTTCAATGCTAGAAAATTTCTAAACTCCTCTGCCATATATGTTTTGTACTGTTCACTTATCTTACCATATCTAAGTTATTGTGTGGAAGTTTGGGGCAACATTTACAGAACTTCACTTCAACCATTATGCTCATTACAGAAAAGACGTATTCATTTAATTCACAAGGCAGATTTTTATTGTCATACCTACAATTTACAGTATTTATAGATTCTTATTTACTGAAACTCACTGATTTGGTAGAGTTTCAAACTGCAAAATTTATGTATAAAATCAGAAACAAAATATTACCAGAAAATATTCAAAAATTATTTTCTGATAGAGTGGGGGGATATGACTATAGAGAAAACCTCAACTTTAGAACTTTGAAGGCTAAAACAACAAGGGAAAGAATGTGCATTTCTTTCGTTGGTGTGAAGATCTGGAATAAACTCGCTAAAAAGCTGAAGCAAAGTACAAGCATGAGGTATTTTAAGGAAGAACTCAAAATGGTTATTATTCAAAAGTATAAAGATGAACAAAGGGGATGAACCTGGCTGGGAAGTATAGCCTTGTGAATGATCTCAACAGTTGGGTGCAGGTTTGTGAATGTGTATGTAACCATATTTAGGTGTGTAAATTGGTGTGTATTATTTAGATATATGTGCAGATAGATGTGTATGCATTATTTTCATCTGGTTTAGGAAATATTACTATAGTTATTATTATTTCGTTTTTCTGTCACGAAGGATACCGGAAATTGGAAGACAATGCGATGAATTAGAAATGGAAAAGGGGTATGATTATATGAGTTATACTTAATCATACTCCGTTTCAGACTCATAATCACTGAATAAGTGGTATGTTTCCATGTAACTGATTGTGTACATCACATGTGTCAAACACAAGGCCCGGCCCACGGGTGACTCCCGTGTGGCCTGCCAGGGGGGTCCCCTCCCAAAAAAAAAAATATAATAATATATATAAATTAAAAAAAAAAATTTTTAA